GCCTGTTTGACACTTTCCAAATTTTTGTCGTACTGCTGTAGGTATCCCCCACAAGGCCTGAGATGTAAGCAAAAATTCTAAGTTAAAACTATAAAGATAAAACGCCTGCAATCTCTAATCATCTATCAAAATCAATCGATTAAAGGGACTATAGCACACCTGGTCAGGCCCAGACGCGAGATGGTCTGGCTCATTAGAATGCCCTCCTATCACTGATTACTCAAAAATAATACCATGTGTACTAAGAATTGGTATGTACCGGGAGAGAACCTTCTAACGCCACCATTATAAACTGTAAAACGATTTGAAATTGGCCGCTCAAAATTCGCCCTTCGGAAGCAGGCNCTAAAATAACTCTTACTTAAAAGATCTAGCAAATTTCGAACTGAAAAGTCAGTCTGGACAAACCAAACATTGTCGTATTTCACTTCCACTCTCCAGAATAAAAATGGAAATAACTTGAGGACATTTGCGGCTAAATTCGGTAAAGATCGTCTGGAGACCTTTAAAATGCACTGATGAAAACAAGTCACAAGCTGAACGAATGTCTTTCTAGCCTTCTTACATTTTTATTTTTGTGTATATCCCATCTTTAAGAGACAGTGTTTTTACATCTGGATAACATGCGTGTAGAGTTTTATTCGTCAAGTAATACTGGACACAATTCCGTCAAATACTTTCAGTAATAGCGAGTTTTAGATGTCTATCGAAATCCACGATTGGATTTCTTCAGCGCGGCATCCCATGCAGCTACGCGTTCACGTGGACAAACACAACACCAAACTATCAGCCCTTAGGTTATTAAATTTCCGAAACTTATTTTGCTTAATACACCTTAGTTGTGTTCATACAAGAGTTTCAGCTGAAGCCTATTACGATCGGACAACTTGAAAAGACCAATGTTCATCAAAAAACGCTGGCGTAATAAATGCATTGGAACCAGTTTTTTTCAACCTGGAAGAGACCGCACTATCGAAACACCCGACAATACAGGAAGCATATAAAAATTTCACCCTACTTTTGACTTACCAAGTAGTTGCTGTCGTCGAGATTATACCGATCTCGGCTTTCTTTGAACACCAAAGCGTACGCCAATGACGAAATACACCCATTTTCAGGGAAGTTCGACGTTAACAGAACTCAAGCCGTGATTTGACCGAGCCTCCATTGCAAACGAGCACACAGCTCACCTGCCTATAACCTGGTGTTCCAGTGGAAATTATGGCTGATGAACCCGACGATTACGCCTGGCTGTTACTTCCAAAAGCCATAATCAACGGGCAACTGAGCTGAAATTCTTTTTCGAGTAATTACTCCACACGAAACTCACTTGCAAATACCTGCATTTTATCATTACTAAATTTTACTTATGGGAACTGCACTCAATAAGCAGAGCAACTCAAACAATTACAAACTCATACAATTACAAGCCCAGTAAGCCCATAGGAATACTAAACGGTTGTAAAGCAAGAAAATGGAATACTGATTATAAAAAGGTCTAATGATGATGAAGAACCCATAAAACAACAAGAGGACTACGTTTGAATGAGCTTTGAAACAGAAAAATGTGGCTGGGTTGCTGCACTTTATTTGGAGTGGTCCAAGATGAAGAACCAATGAAATTTAGTTGAAGATCATCCAGTTGCATAGCTTGGTAGCAGACCACTGGGCTTACGTGTTTTATCAGATTATTTTGAGGATTATTTGTCACGGTTGTCAGCGCACAACTATCGGATGACCTCTGGAAAGCTATTAGGAAAGACATTGCAACTAAACCAACTGTGACTACTCCAAAATGGCGCCAGTTGCAGAAGGATGAATAGCGGTGCAAAAAAGAAAGTACCCTTGCAGATAGCCCCAAGCTGATTCAATACAGAGTAAGATGGAAAACGGCTCAGTTCACACCGATAGCGATTGGGCCAGTGGTTATGAACTTCCATTTTGTTCAGCAAATCATCACTTCTCCCGGTGAGTAGGATTCATTATTTTTTTGGATTACACACGTATACTGACAAGCCACGTTTTACAGGGGATGATACTACGAGGGATGTTTCAAAAGATCAAATCGCTGGAGAAAAAATGTAATGTAGGTGAAACGGACCTACGACAAGAAATGAATTAGTTAGCCTTAATTGCACCACTACGTCATAGAGGCTTGGGGATGAGCTATGTGGCCACAATGTGGGAAAACGAGAGCATCTTCGTTAAGGAGGCAGAATATTTTACGTCCCAACAGGCGTCATATTTAGATATCACATCATATTTACTACTGACACTTAGCGTCATCTTTCCAGGGTATCCCACTTCCTCTGACCCCCAGCATTTCCACAAGTGGAAGGAAAGTTTGCGTTTCGATGACGTCTAAAAGGGTTCTAATTCATGCCCATCAAGCAGTTGTTTGTTGTTTTCGCTTCTGAAAAAGCATTTGTAATAACATCACTGTGAGGAAAAACTATTACACTTCGTAGTCGTGAGTAGGAAACCCCAACTCCCCATTGGCGAACCTTCTGTGCACGTCATTTGTAAAAACTGTTGGTGATGTGTACAAAAAAGATACTTTGTCTTCCTTGTGTAGCATTAAATTAAACGTCTAAGGCGCCCCTCTTCGTTAATGGTTATTTCCAATCCACTCCGTTCAATACTCCACCAACATTACCTTATTTGTTCTCTGTATTCAATTTATAGTAGCTTATACCACAGCAGTCGTAGTGTAAAAAGTCTTATAAAAGTCAGAAAGTCGCACCATGCCGTTGAAGATGGTGGCCTTCCGGTTTAAGGCAAGCGCCGTCCAAATGGAGTTATGTTCCCTTAGTGGACATCGCATACAAGCCTGTTTGACACTTTCCAAATTTTTGTCGTACTGCTGTAGGTATCCCCCACAAGGCCTGAGATGTAAGCAAAAATTCTAAGTTAAAACTATAAAGATAAAACGCCTGCAATCTCTAATCATCTATCAAAATCAATCGATTAAAGGGACTATAACACACCTAGTCAGGCTCAGACGCGAGATGGTCTGGCTCATTAGAATGCCTTCTTATCACTTATTACTCAAAAATAATACCATGTGTACTAAGAATTGGTATGTACCGGGAGAGAACCTTCTAACGCCACCATTATAAACTGTAAAACGATTTGAAATTGGCCGCTCAAAATTCGCCCTTCGGAAGCAGGCGCCAATTGGGTGAAGAAGAGTGAGGAGGGCAGTTGTGTGAGCGTTTTCTGCCACCCACAATTAACTAGGCTGAGACTCTGGTTTTGCGGTACTCAACGATCAATGCTTTCATTTATTCTTTTCATTCCTTGATGGCAAATGGGTGGAGAAATGGCGTCGGCACCGTTATAACTGTATCTAATGTACAACCAATTGTGTGGCAAAACTGAAAAGAAACTGATTGGCGACTCCTTTGCTCCCGGAAGCGACTTCGCTGAAACAACATGCTTCTGTCTTGATCTCACAAACGAATTCCCTAATTGCACCATTAAATTCTCCAATATCAGTACTTCCTGACCACAGGGGTATTCACCACAATAGCTGCAGTAGGTAAACACTTGCATCTTTCGTCACGCATATTCATGCTTTTGCTATTCACTCCGCTAAGCCGGTTCCTTGCATTGTACTGTGTATTTTTTCATCAAGGTGCCTGAACGCCTATCTCATGGTCCGTGGTGCAACACGGTTTAGGTACAGCAATCTTAATAATGACTTAAAAGTTCATACCTATTCGCGCTTGAAACATCTTCCGTTAACGTTGTCTGGGCCACTACTGAAATGCCACATCCCTAGTTGAGGCTAAACAGTATTCCAGGCTAAAAAGTATCGACTCCTACGACTGTGGCTTGACTCGGGTTCGCGCGCCCGGGTGCAAGAAAGTTTGCCACCGGGAACTCAGCTGGCTGTACACATGAGGAACGCTAGAGCGGTGACAGTAGGAGTCTCTCCGATACGAGCCACACTGGATGTTGCTCCTCATTGCTGCTGCAGAAATAGCCTGTTACTCTATACACACTGACATCTTCGGAATGAAGATCAGCACAGTGTTTTTCTTTTCATGCCCTAAGATGTCATTTTTGCGATCATTCATACTCTACGGATTGGGAGACCCTTTCTCCACCTTCAGTTCTAATGGCAACCTCAAAATCCAGCTATTATCAGCACATCACTAGGACCGGCAAGAAAAGAACTAGCTTAACGTTTTTGGACGCATTCACCGGGTGTTTGTGGAACGGCCACCTAAGTGCTTCCCGTTGCGAGCCGAGAAATATTGTGCCATTGACAGAACCATAATTAAGGTAAAATGTCGAAACAAGTATTGGACCTCCTCTTGGCGGCCGCAGCACGCAGTACAATGTTCCAATTGTCAGCTACTTAGCCGGCTAAGAAACAATGTTTTTTAGTTCTTGCAAATGCATCAGCACTTAGAGACTTAGGCGACGGGGTTGAGTTGGCTTGCCGTCTCGATGAAGTGCTAAACTGCTTCCTGCAGACCAAAATCTGCACGAAGAATACTGTAGCCTGCAGGAGATCTGTTCTAACTGTCAGAAGCATGTAACTATAATGTACGTTGTCTGTATGCTATGAAATAATGGAACTCAGGTACTCGGGTTCGCCGACCCTCAGCAGGCTGTTGCCAGCTTCCTCAAAGCTTTTGTGGATGGAACTAGAAATTTACGCAAACATGTTTCTCAGACCAAAACTCACCATTGTCTGCCTTCGTTTCGCTGGAGTGTGTTTTACTTAGTTTTCCTTAAATTTCGGTGCGCTTTCAATTTTAAACCAGTCGCGCTGTTGTTACAGTCGCTCGGATTTCGCACAATGGAATTAAATTTTCTAAAGCTACGACGTGTCCCTGACGGGCTCCATTGTTTCAGGGACCTATTAGCCACATAATGCTCTTAGCTGCAAAAACTTCGCGAGAGAAATCTATTTGCGCCAAAATATGGTATTTCGTTGCACGTGCGCAAACCGAGAGCCATCCTAATCTACGTTCATATTTTTGCAGCTCACCGAATTTCACTGTCGACGAAGAAATCATATCTTTGGCGGGAAAAGCCTGATGGAATACTCCCCTAGCATGGCTGATAACCCGGGATGCCAAAATGGGGCTCGGAAAATTGGACTAGTACTCTGAACTCAATTGCCTGTCTCGTTTACTCCAACAGGGACACGATGTATCTTCCAAAAATTCCATTCCATTGTGCAAGTAATGAGCGCCTTTGTTTCAGTCCGCCCACTAGATATTAAGCAATATTGCTTTGGTCAAGACCATGATAATTTAAAAGCTGCAACGTTTACGGGAAGTTAGCTTGGTCTGCTTGTACGATTTAGTGATATGGTACTGATAGGATTTTGTTTGGCTGGGCAAAATTGCGAGGTCGTTGATCGCTAACGATCCGCATTTCACTACCGGTGTGAGAGGTGAACTGAGAACTCAACTTTAGCATAAAGTAGCATTCCGCAGCGTTTTTACAAACGAGCGATCATCCACAGAGTACCCACTACAAATCCCACTCATAGAAACCGAGGACTAACAGTTGCATGCGTGAGACTCCACAAACGTAACACATCAGGTGGATTGGTCCAGTGAACTTCGCTACACCGTCGTTTCACCTACCGTTCAGCATTAAGATGAAAGGTAACTTGAGGCCGTATTCGGTATTGATGATTGTACGCACCTCTGTGGGTGACATCCATAATCTGATACGTCAACAGAGACTGCAACGTCCTGAAACAATTGTATGTTAAGTACCAACAAAACACTCCCGTTGAAGGTAATCATTCTCCTAAGTTAGGTTATTTCATCCAGCCCGACTACACTGGAGGAAAATAAGGCCGACCATTGCCAGTCATCACGGGAAAAGCATGCACGGTCATTTTTATCGGTTACTCGTCGGAACCGATGTGCCCGTGTCTATTTCCAGCATTGATTACGGGGTAGCAGTTATGTGCGGTAACCTAATCCAATGGCCAACGTCGGTTTGACATACCCGCAACAGTACGCGCTGTTGCTTAACTTTGCCACTTGTAGAAAACGCCGGTTCAGTAACTACAAGGTCCAATAAAAGTGGCCTAAAATAAGCACAACCACTCTCAAACCCTCTGGCTATGCGTTGGGGGTTACGCTGCTAGCCATCACAATCACGAAAAGTACACTAGTTTACCCCGAATTGCCCAGACAGTGATTCGAAAACATTGGGATGTTGTTCCCTTACCCCGATCATTAAGAAAACACAGAAACTTATCGTAAGCTTCTTGGATATTTAAACCCACGAAAAAATGTTGAAATCAGGTGCTCAAAGAATATCAAAGATTTTCGGACGTTTTTATCTCAATGACACTAGTCACAACGGAGGGCGCAACCCACATCCATCTCCGTAGCAATCAGCGATAAAATCCAGCATCAATGGCTTCTGAGAAACCCCGACACCATCGTTTTACATTGAGAAATTACTTTTGTGTCACTTTGACTGTCTCCACTCAGTTACACATACACTACACTCAAATC